TTTTGGGGGGGAGGGGGAGGTCCAGTCGCTGGCCTGAACTCTGGGCCCAGGCACTGTCCCTCAGCTCTTTAGCCCAAGGCTAGCACTCTACCACTTGAGCCACAGCGCCACTTCTGGCTTTTTTTTTCTTTTCTGCTTATGTGGTGCTGAAGAATCGAACCCAGGGCCTGATGCATGCAACGCAAGTGCTCTACAACTGAGCCACCTTCCCAGCCCCAGTCCTTTTTTAAAATCTTGTTTCTTCCTGAATTTATTTATTTTGCCACTGGATTATATATTTTAAGACGTGTTTTCTATAATGTCTCTGTGTGGTGAATTTTCCATGTCTTTGTATGCTGAGAATTTATTTATTTTTTCCTTCTATTCAAGTGAAAGTTTATTAAATGTATATAAATTGTAGATCAATGTTTCCCCCTGCTTTTTGTCTTGTGAATTACTGCTCCATTGTCTTGTAACTAACACTAATATTGAGAAGTCTGTTACCAACATTTCCCCTCCTTTAGGAAAGGGTCTCATTTAAGACTTTTCTCTTAATCCATTAACAATCTTAAATGTTGTTATAACAATATGTTTTACTACAAATTTTCTTTACTGATCCTTGTCCTTCCAATTTAAAAAATTGAGTACTTCTTCAAATATTTATTCTCTTTCATTTTATCTTTCCTCTCTTTCTTGAGTTCCAATTACACAATTCCTATTTTGAATTTTCTTTCTTATTCTATCTTCTTACCCTTTCCTTCTGCCTACTGAGATAGTTCTCCTCAAGTTTTCCAACTTATTAACTCATTCTCTGTATGTATTACACTTTCATCCATCCTGAATTTTTTACTTCAAACTATTATTATTATTTTGAGTCAGCCTCTCACTGTAAAGCCCAGAATGGCCTTGATCTTGCCTTCCTCCTGCTTCAGACCTCTAAGTGATGGAATTACATGTGCCACCATGACCAGATTATTTTGATTACTCATAATCACATTATTTAGCCTTTATTTTTATTTTTTGTCAGTCATGGGGCTTGAACTCTGGGCCTAGGCACTGTCCCTCAGCTCTTCAGCTCAAGGCCAGCGCTCTACCACTTGAGCCACAGTGCCACTTCCCGTTTTCTGGTGGTTAATTGGAGATAAGAGTCTCAAGGACTTTCCTGCCTGGGCTGGCTTTGAACTGTGATCCTCACATTTCAGGCTTCTGAGTAGCTAGGATTATAGGCATGAACCACTGGTGCCTGGCTATTGAGCCTTTTTATAAGTTCATTTTCATATTACATTTAAAATTTCTTCTCCTTGAAGATATACTTGGATTATATTCTTATTCCATCCTGGACTCTGGACTTGGGTCCTGTCCCTGAGCTCTTTTGCTCAAGGCTAGTGCTCTACCACTTGAGCCACAGCCCCACTTCCTCAAATATATTTTTTTTATAGATGAGGTTCTTGTATTTGCTGTTTTCTGTTATTGTGCTGACACACCTTGTGTTTCCCGTGAACTTGTTGGCATTCGGGCTGAGTCAAGCCACTTGAACCTAAGGGCAGGATGAGCCTAGGCTCTGACTGAAGCGCCAGCCAACTTAAGAACTAGAATGGAGGCACATGTCTGAAACCTCAAGAATTCAGGAGTCTGAGCCAGTTGAAGGTAGCAGAGAGACTTATCTCAAACAGAATAAAAATGAAAGTGTGGAGGGTGTGGTTCATGTGGTAGAACCTTTGCTCTAGTCAGGCCTCAACCACGTCTCCCATTGTGTCCTCTGATTCTTTTCAAATCCAGTAAGAGACAGCAAAGGGAGCCACATGCTTGCCTTGAACGTGTCTACCCGTGTACCATGTCCACATGCCTCCTGACAGAGCTCTCCCAGGCCACTGCTCCTGGCTTGCTCCCTGGGGGTCGTGTTAGGGTGGAGGCAGTAGGGATGCTGCTCAAAACCTCTCAGACCTGGGCTTATTGCTATGACTCTGAGCCCAACCTTGTCTTATAATAGTCAGGTCAGGTGCGTATTACTTTTTAAATATGATTTCACAGTTGGTGCTAGAATATAAAAATTGGAAAAGATGCCGTGTATCCCTTCAAAGGCTGTTCGTTTTACAGGTACTAGAGAAACGTAAGAAGACATTCTAATGATTCATGATAAATTCTGTGATGGGTCATTCCCAGAGTTATGGGAATATATGGGAAGAATGCATTGCTTTGTTGGGGAAAGATTTAGGCTGAGTCCTCAGGATGTTTGTTTGTTGGCTGGGTGAGGCTGTGAGAGGAGGCTGAGGGTGGAGTCGTATCTCAGGTTGACAGCGTAGTCCAGAGGTGAGGTTAGTGTGTCACGGTTCTCACCTCCATGTCCATGTGATGAGTGTATAAGGGTGGTGTGGAACTTGTGTTCACATTTCAGAAAGGCTTGGAAGTACTGTGGAGAAGGCATTGACCTGGCAAGGTAGGGGCCACTGAGATCCACAAGAGGCTGTGAGGCTGAACCTGCCCTGAGGGAGGCTGGCCAGCCATTGCTCTGTGGTTCATTCCATTTCCTTATGTTTGGTAGAAAAGAAGCGTGTAAGGAATAATGCATAGTTTTCTCTCAGCATGAGGTATTTAGAAAACACATATTGTCTAAAAGCTCTTAAGAAGCACTTAGAAGCACAGCAAAGCAATATCTTAAATTTTTATTTTAAAGGACAGTTTCATATCTGTAGAAATGCAGAAAGCTCAAAAACCCAGGAGATTTTTCTCTTAAATTTTACCAAATTGAACTGACAGCAGACTACCCTGAAAACAGCCTATTTGCAGTCTTCATTAGTCCTACTTTGTGTAGACAGTCACCTGTCTCTCTCAGAATTGTTAATGTGCTTCAGCCCATGGTGACATTCTGTGTCATAGAATTTACATACACTCACTGTCTTCCTAAAATCTGAAGTACTCCGATGAAGAGTGTCCAGCACTGATGGTATCAGGTAATGAACTATGAATTTGTCCTTTAATCTGAATACTTTCATTTTATATGACAATTTATTTTCTAATAACCATTATGTGACAGTTGAGTCATGGAGGAAAGTAAAGAGTATGTATGGTAGAGTTCAAGCTCCAAGATAGACTGCCAACTCAAACTGCACAACAATGTGTCCTCTAGCTACTGTTTGGAATTTACAAAACACAGAATAGGGCGAAAACAAACAAACCCCCACACACTGAGCCAAATGTTTGCATAGAATATATATGTGTATATATATATATTTTTTTTTTTTTGGGGGGGGGGGGTCTGGTCATGGGGACTGAACTCTGGGCCTGGGTGCTGACCCTCTTCAGCTCAAGGCTAGCACTCTACCACTTGAGCCACAGTGCCATTTCTGGCTTTTTTTTTTTCTGCTTATGTGGTGCTGAGGAATCGAACCCAGGGCCTCATGCATGCAAGGCAAGCGCTCTACCACTGAGCCACATTCCCAGCCCCAGAATATCTTTAAAAGAATAAACAAAGAGTCAGCATCTATGATTGAAAAGTGGGAGTCAGTAATGAGAGGAAGAGAAGGCTTAACTAATTATGTATGTGTATGTATGCTTGTGTTATAGAAGCACAGTGTCTTATATAGGTGTTTCACTGTATTTTAGTCCTTTGTTTACATTTTAAGTTGCACAAGTAATTTTCTGAGGATGTTCCTTTGAAAATGTCATGATTGATTAGAATTTCAGCCTATTAAAATTCAATTTATAATGGTTTATTTATATAAGTAATAGCCTTCTCTCATATCCTATAGTTTCTTTTTTCATTTATCATTAGCACTGTGATGATATCAGAGATTAGAGAATGAGTTACAGAAACCTTGACACTTGTAAACATGGGCTATCCAGTTCAGTTCGGATTGCCAGAAGCAGTACGTGGGAAAGGAGAGCCATTGCAGTTGAGTGCCAGCCAGCCAGCAAAGGAGGTCTCACCCCGAGCCGTGAAAACCCAGGCTGAGAGCTGCCATACAGCTTCAGGCATCAAAGTTGAAGGCATTTGGAAAGGTAGAATAGAGTGACAAAGGAAGCAGATAATTATATTCTCCGCTAAGAAAAATATGAGACAGAAATAGAAAAAAAGTTGAGACCATTCTGAGAAACAGAAGAAACATGGGAAAACATTAAACATCATAAATATAATTACATTGTTGTTACTTTCTGCAGTGTCATAGATATAATTTCATGTTATGAAAGAAAAGACCTGTAGTTACATTGGATCTAAAATATTGCTTGGGCAGAGATAAAAGTCAAACCTAAACTAGTATAGGTTGAAATCATAAAAAAAAAAAAAAAAAATCCCATCATTTGCCATATGTCATCAAATGTAGATTTAAATTAGCTTTGCTACTTGGACAGATTATCTTTGCTATTTGTTTTTTCTGTTTCCTTGCCTTTTTTTTCTTTGTAGTTAAAAGCACAAAATTAAATATTTAAACTCTATTTAGTTTCTTAATATTATAACAATCTTAGGTCCTGAATTGTAGTAAGCACTAAACAAATAAGATTAATATCAAGAAATAATTCATTAGTATATTTAGCTGTATACTCACATATTCTTCATGTCTATGTTCTTTATATAAAAATACAACCATTGGTGGGTGGATATTTGATGAAGCAAATAAAGTAAAATGATAATTTTAGAAATCTAGTAGTGGAGAGAATGTGTAAGTTTGAATGTTTTTGTAATACGTGTTGAAAATAATCATACCTCTAGTGAAAAAAACTGATGTAAAAATAAAATTACATGAATAGCAAAATAATAATGTGATTACTTCTTTTGCTTCTTGTTAACGAAAGATTTGAAATACTTTTTGCATTAGCAAAATACCAATTTTAAAGGTAACATTATTTTACATAAATTATTCCCATCCAATGGAAATTGTTTTATTCTTAGAAATGGTTATACGTATTCATAAAGATAGATGAAGAATTGTAAGGGTTTATGAAACATTTTTTAGGTAAACATAAATTAGAGCAGACAAGGGTTTAGCAGACAACTGTTTAGAACTTTTATTCTTCTGTTTTAGGGAATCTGGAAACATCAAAGCTGGATTAGAACATCTGGTAAGTTCTAATTTTCTCTTGAACATTTGCATCATCTTTGATATCTGCATTCTAAATGAATGCTTTTGAATGGGCTTTGAATACCTTGTATTGAAAAAGTCAACCATTTCCCAAAGGGTCAGCTTACCGTTTATTATGTGAAGGCACTTACATTTTCATTTATCTTATCATTTCAAGGGAATTTAAATTTTTTTAAATTACCTTTTTTTTTGATGTAGAGATAAAATAAAATGAATGACAATCCTTGGATTGATGATTGCTTTAATTATGAGCAAAAATTGTTTGGTGTAGAATTTTTGGCTTATCTTGATCTGACAAAAACAAGCTTGTGTTTTAAGAAAAACACAATCAAATATTGCATGCATAAATATGGTATGTTTTAGCAATTTAACAGCTTTGAAAGAAGTGCACAGCTTTGTTTTTCCTGAAGTATTTGCTTTATGAATAATGCATTGGTTTAAACTATATGCAGTTTTAGAATAGAAAATAATTGAGATGCACAATTTTTGGTTTAGGTAAACTTTTTAAGAACTGATGAAGTTCGAGCTGATTTATTTTAAAATCTGTTTTAGCTAAAAATTAATGAAAAAATTGGGAAAACCATACTGTCATAACAGGTATGAAATCACTGAGCCCACTGTATCAAGTGTTCATTGCAACATTAAGTTGTTCATTTAAACAGAGCATTATAAAGTCATGCTCTGGTTTCTGGTCAAATCCAAATGTTGAATAATTAATGGTTGAGATTCTTTTGTGAAAACAGTCTAAGTACTTTTTAAATGCAAGGCTTCATTCCTATATTATACTGTCGTTTTGTTAACTATTATGTGAGTTTGATCTGCTTTCACAAAATCAAAACAGTCACAAAAGACAGTTTCATTTTGACTGACAGGAAGGCAAACTAAAGAACCTTAGATTTTCTAAAAATTTATAGCTGTATTTAGAAAATTAGAATCTAAAAAACTAGTTTGAAATCTTAAGCCATTTGAGGATTAGAAATGTTTCTTATTCTCATCATCAAAAAATGCTTTCCAAATGTATTTATCACTTGATGGTAACCCACAGACATAGGTGCCTATGTCATGGGTCCATAGTCATCTGAAGCATGGCATTCCAGAATTAATTGGTAGTTTATATCAAGTAACTAAAGCTGCCAGAATGCCAAAACAAACTATTACTTCTTAAATTACTATTATGTTTTTTTAAATATTTACTTTGTGTTTCTCAGTAAATAAAAATGAATTCTATTTTTAAGTTAAATTTCATAATTTCTGTGTGTGTTAATGCATTTCATTTAACTTTTTCAAAAGTATTAACATCGTTTGACCTGTGAACAGTGAACTATTAATTTCCTTCCTTTTTTTCTTCCTTCCCTCCTCTTCTTCAGAAATGCTGTTAAGAATTAGTAGTATATTGAAGGGGTAACATTGATCAAGATCACTAGAATACATAACTACTTTGTTAAAAGGTAAAAAAAAATCAGTAAATGCACTACAATTTTTTTAAACATTGATATATTCTTCATAACCTAAGCATGGGGTGAATGCACTTTGCTTTGTCTAGCATACAGCTCCTGAGTTTATGTCTCTACCTTTCCCCTGATCAGGTATTTAGAATCCTTCTAGCACATGTAACCTTTGGATTGGCTGAATAGCCAAGTGCAATTAGAGACTTAGATTATAATAGCTTGCTTTTGCAGTTATATGCTATAAAATTAAAATGAGAAGAACATCCCCACATTTGGAATTAATCTCTTATTTTTGTAGCCTTCAGTCTTTTTCTTATCCATTTAACTTATTCAAATTATCATAAAACTTAGCATTAAGAGAGGATAAAAGCCAAGAAAGGGGGGAGAGAAAGAGGGGGGGAAGGAGAAGGATTGGGATTGGGGGGGGAGGGGGGATGCTGGGAAGGGATGTGAAGGGTAAACAAAGGAGGAGGCTGCAATGCTTGGTAAGAAATGTACGCATTATCCTGCCCATGTAATTGTAACCCCTCTGTACAGTATGTTCACAAATAAAATAAAATTAAATTTAAAAAAAAAGCCAAGAAAAATTAAGTACAGCTGTAATACTTACCATCAAGAAACATGTAATTGTCTTTGTATTGCATGTTTCTGGTCCTCTCTTGGCACATAGTTATATGGAACCCTGAAAGGAGAAGGCAGATATATGGATAAGAGAATGGGGTGGACAGATTTCCTCTGAAACCTCTTCCGTGGTTGATTTTCTTAAGTCTTTAAAATCACACAGAGCTTTGATACACCTATTTTTCTATCATTCTTTGTTTTCTATTTCCCAACCTGGAAATTATGTAGCATACCATAATGCCCATTGCCCCCTCCTCCCTCTTAATCAAGCTCATAAACTCCATGCCAGTTAGAAGTCCTGGGCAGAGCCTTTGAAGGCTGTTAAACCAATATCTGTTCATTCTTACCTGGTGATTGCAAAATGGAGACTTTTGAATCCTACTGTTCCCTCTGTATTAGCAGAAATCATTGTTTTATAAAGAAGAACCAGCCCTTTTTGTTTTGTGTATGTTATTAGGAGCATGGATTCGGAGAATTCTATTAGCAAGGATTCATAGAGTTCTCTTAGATGGGTTATTGTCCATTTCTTTCCTAAACACTCAAATTGCCACATTTGTCCTCATAGTTTTTGTTCTAGATAGCTTTGAAGGTTGTTTTGATAATGCTTCTGCCCTGCCCTGTTCTCTGTCCCCCGGCCCCCCCCCCCACCCCCAACTTCAGTCCTTCTAATCCATCAAGGTGTTCTATCTTAGCTTCCATTGTCTGTGTTCCAGTTTGTAACCTGCCATCACTTCAGTGACTCTTAATTGATTTTAGAGGACATGGAAATCAAGATCTAAATGTGCTTCTTGTTTCTCTGACTACATTACCATTGGGCACTTGCAATCCAGATTATTCAAGTAATACATTAGATTGGTGGATGAATATGTACATAGATACATATGTACATATTTTACTTTTTGAGAAAGTATTTTGTTGTATAGCCTGGAAACGCCTGGACATTGCCATGTAGTCTGGCCTCAAACTTAGGATCTTGCTACCTCTACCACCTAAGTACTAGGAGTATAACATTACTCATAGTAATATCAATTCCAGTCTAAGCCAAAGAGTTCTGCTATGCAGACTTGCATTTTCCTTCCAGAGAACCCTGGCTGCTTATGTTATCAGGACTTGCATTTATTTAATTTATATGCAATTGCTACTTGCATACCTGACAAACAAACCTACTATTTGAAACTTATTTGTAGTTCTTCCCTAGCCAGTCCATTATAGTTGTTTCTCATTAGAAATATAGTTCTACTCCTTTGACTACATTTAGTCAAAAACCATGCCATTGACCTATTCTTATTGATGTAGTATGTGTTACTTCCTTTCTAGATTTTTTTTCCTTTACCTTCAAAGGTAGTTGGATTTACTGGCTTCTATCTGTCCTCCATATTTTAAAATAAATTAAGCATTTATGGGGTAATGTGTTCAGATGTATTCCTATTCCTCATTATTGTTTTGTTTTGGTTGAACAATTTTTATTAAAACCTACAAAAATTAAAGAAGTTCAAATGGTGAATGTGGGTACTTTAACAGAAATTCTCACCTGCCTATACTATTATTACCAGAAATCAGCAAACCTAACCCCAACAAAATGGAAACTCTCAGGTAATTGCTACAAGTGAATGTAAATGTAATTATTTCATCATAACCTTCCTTTAATCATCTGTAAAAGGGAATTTATGTGGCATAACAAAAGGTGTGAAAGGCTTATGACAACACATTTTTCTTAAATGTGTCAAATTTATTTTTTAAAGGATTCAGAATACACTTGAAATGATTAAATGACTGAAACAGAATTTTTAAAAATTGCAAACCATTGTATCATCAGCTTAATCGCCATGCATGGTACTCAAAAATAGCATAGCTTTTTAATTAGATCAGTTAAGTAAAAATGAGGAATTAAATACTAATAAGGGTAAGTTTTATTTTCAAGGAATCAAGCAAAAAATACATGTATAAAACAAAACATTACTAATTTTGCTCACATGTCCTCGTTATTACTAACTATAGATGTTATAATACATTTCAAAATAAAATGCCCACAAAAGATAACATTAATAAGAAATACTCAAATCAAACTAGAAAAACATTAAGTAAGAAATATACTGGGTCAGTGATGTCTTCATTTAGAATTACTCAAACATTTGATTTTGAGACTCGTATCTCAGGTCCCTTCCAGGGCCCACAAAGAACCATCCCAATGCTCTGCTCTTGAGAGAATCTGTGATAATTAAATTGGGAGGAAAATACCTTGCAGTACTCATGGCCAATAAGGAAGAAAACTTTAATGTCTTGAGGAAAATGTAAATGAAACAAAAAATTACCAATTGAAAAGAGAAACATACCCAGAACACTGTCATAACCAGCTTGCTTGCTGGGTGTTGATTTATATTTTCTTAGGTAGAAATCTAACGTAAACAAAGTAACTGGTTTTATAAAAAAAATATCCGGAGTTGCTAGTAAAGCACAAAGAAATCTCTAGGGGAGTCCAGCGCCCTCCTGTGGGCCACCCCTTCATACCTTGCATAGGGTCTCCAGAATAATCTGGGGGTAGAAACTACACCCAAATGCCAGTTTCCCTAAGAAATAGTTACAAGACATGCTACAAGGTTGCAGGAATGAATGCTAAAAGGTAAAATAGATGCAGCTTTCCTTTATAGTACTACTAATACTTTGATGTCCCATCTAACAAAAAGAGCTGTACAATAGCTGGAGGTACTCACAAATACCATATTCACCTGAGAAAAATATGGTGTGTGCATTTTAAGAAACTGTTGTACAACATAGTGTATGAATGAAAGCCTCAAATATCATTAGATTTCCAAGATAATGTAACCCAAAGCCACACATTTCTAAGCACAATGTACACATAATGGATAATGCAAAATATCAGTGTTTTCAAATTGACTGTCTTGCTATTCCT